CTGGATGGAATTGCCATCCCTAGGTGGAATTGTCATCCCTGGGTGGAATTGTGATTCCTGCATGGGATTTTCATCCCTAGATGGAATTGTAATTCCTGGATGGAATTGTCATTCCCAGATGGAACTGTCATTCCTGGATGGAACTGTGATTCCTAGATGGAATTGTGATTCCTGGATGGAATTGTCATCATTCCTAGATGGAATTGTAATCCCTAGATGGAATTGTGATTTCTGGATGGAACGGTGATTCCTGGATGGAATTGCCATCCCTAGGTGGAATTGTCACCCCTAGATGGATTTGTCATCCCTAGGTGCAATTGTGATTCCTGGATGGAATTATCATTCCTGGACAGAATTGTCATTCCTGGACGGAATTGTCATTCCTAGATGGAATTGTCATTCCTAGATAGAATTGTCATTCCTGGATGGAATTGTGATTCCTGGACGGAATTGTGATTCCTGGATGGAATTGTCATCCCTGGACGGAATCACCCTCCCTGCCCCCCAGGGCTGCCGGGAGCTCCAGGTCACCTGCTCAGGTGAGAGGGATCCAAATGCCAACAACTACGAGGTGACAACGACGAGGTGACAGCAACGAGGTGACAACAAGGACGGGAATTGGGGCAGGGAGGGACGCAGCTCCGTGCCCCCCACCCCCCGCAGCAAGGGAGGCTCCTCTTGGCTCGGTTTTGGGTGGAATTTGGGAATCTGGAGCCGCTGGATGCTGCGAAGAGCTCAGCTCAGCGTGGAGCAGGGAATCCAGGACTGAGGAGTGCCACCAGACAGGAGCAAACACTCCAACCCAGCGTGGAGCTAATGAAGGGCTTTTTATTTTATTTTTTTTTTTTGAAGAGCAAAATCAGTCGAGGTATAAAAACAAACAGGGCTGAGCGTGTGGGAGAGGCAGCAGGAACACACGAGGAGCGACAGAGGTTAAAGGAAGTGATTCTGGGCACCGAGGATCTCACAGGGATGCTGGAAGCATCTCCCACGGCTTCCCTGGAGATTTCTGTGCCTTTGCAGAGCCTCCAGGGAGATGCCATCCCTGCCTGGGGTGGCAGCAAACGTGGTTTTTGAAAGGGAAATGTGTTGTGGAGCCTGTTTGGTGATTTGGAAGGATTTATTCCATTTTCCAGCCTCAATCCCAGAGACAGCAGGCACCGGAGGGACTGCAAAGGGAAGGCAGGAGCTTCTGACCTGATCCTAAAAGTCAGGAGACGGGTGGCAAGCCAACAGATAATTCAATTCAGATGCTCAGAGAGGAAATTCTCGGGAGCTGTGAGGAAAGAACGGTCAAACAGATGATTTTTGAAATCTGGGGGAGCAGAGGGGGAAGATCACCCCTGGCATTGCCCAGGGATTCGGGGAAGTGTTTTAGCTCCACATTCCAGCTGGGCCTGGGTGGAAAATGAACTTCGAGGGAGGGGTTAATCCTTCCCCTGAGGGGCTGGCGTGGTGCCACAGGTGCCCCTGGCAGCAGGAGGCCACTGAGACCTGCTGGCCCCTGCCCAGGTGTGCTGCTCCTCACCCAGCCAGGTGTGCCACCCACACCCGGCACAGCCCTTCCCACCTGGCGAGGAGGTGACAAAGACGGCGAGGAGGTGACAAAGCTTTGACTCCTGTGGCAGAACCAGAGGCACCCGAGAGCAGCTCGGGAAACGGGAGCTGAGGAGCTCCGTTACCGGGGGCTCCGGGACGCCTCGGCAGAGCTGCTGCGTGCCACCGGCTCCCCCGGGCTCGTTAGCAGATGCTCCGGGGCTGAATCACAGCGATTTGTTGTGGCGAGCGTCGCCTCGGCACCCGCTGCACGCTGAACACCTCCTCTCCCTCCTCTTCCTCCCTCCTCTTCCTCGTCACCTGCAGCCGAGTGATGGGGAGTGGGCGCTGCACCCACGCGGGTCGGGGGAAGCAGGAGGAAGGGAAAGGGTTAAAAAGGCGTGCTTGGAGGTCCCGGGGTGTGACGGGGACAGGGGACAGCCTGGCCCCCAGGGGACAGGGGACAGCCTGGCCCGGGGGGGCTCCGGGAGGGGCTCCGAGCTCTGGCACAGCCCGCGGGGAGCACGGACATCCAGGAGTGCTGGGGGATCCCAAAAAAAAACCCCAGGAGAGCAAGCGCACCCCAAAATCCTCCTTTCCCAGATAAAACAGCCCCCCCAGTGCTGAGTGAGGGGCCAGGAGCCACCCACACCCCCCCAGAGCCGGCCCAGCTCGCCCCCATCCCACGGGACCCTCTCCCTGCTCCAGGAGCCGAGCTGGGGTTCCCTCTGCTGCTCCCACATCCCGCGGCTTCCCGAGCCCTTCTCCGAGAGATCAAGGAGGGAAAACCTGGGAAAAGCCTCCAGTGGCCTCACCTAACCTCAAATCTGACCCCAAATTTGCGTTTTTAGTCACCTGCAGGGCCACGTCCGGGAGGATGGAGGGAGAGTGGAATGGGCAGGGATCGGCAGCGAGATGCTCCTGCTTCCCGCGGGCGCTTCCCGATCCATTCTCCAGTGGGACAACGAGCAAAAACCTGGGGAAAGCCTCCTGACCCTAAATCTGACCCTAAATTTGCAATTTTAGTCACCTCCAGGGCCACGTCCGGGAGGATGGAGGGAGAGTGGGATGGGCAGGGATCGGCACGGAGCTGCTCCTGCCTCCCGCGGGCGCTTCCCGAGCCCTTCTCCGACCGGACAATGAGCAAAAACCTGGGAAAAGCCTCCTGTGGCCTCAAATTTACCCCCAAATTTGCAGTTTTAGTCACCTCCAGGGCCACGTCCAAGAGGATGGGGGGAGAGTGGGATGGGCAGGGAGCGGCACCGAGCTGCTCCTGCCTCCCATGGGGAGCTCTTCTCCAACCGGACAAGGAACGAAAACCCGGTAAAAACCCTCCTGCCCCCAAATTTACCCCCAAATCTGCAATTTTAGTCACCTGCAGGGCCACGTCCGGACAGCGGGATGGAGCCGGAGGCAGCACGGGGAGGGGCAGGGAGCGGCACCGAGCTGTTCGTGCCTCCCACGGGCTCTTCCCACGGGAATTGTGACTAACGGAGCCATCCCTGGCACAGCTCCGGTGCAGGAGCCTCGGAGCAGCTCCCCAGAGGAGCCCGTGAGGGGTTGGTGCCTGTGGGAAATGGATTTGGAGAGAGTTTTTAGGTCCAGTGGAATGAAAGTTTTAAAAAAATCTCATCTCTGGCTCAGAGGTTTTGTCCCACAGTGCTGACCTGGGGAAGGGCTGCACGGGAAGGCTCCCAAAAAGGGTTAAAAAACGAGCTGGGGGTGTTTCCACCGAGCTGGAAATGCCCGGGCTGAGAGCAGAGCTGCGGGATCAGATGGTGGGTGAGACACGGTCGGGTGAGGGCGGATAAAGGAGCTGCCAGGGAGATGCCAGGAATGGGCACCGAGCTTCAGGGGCTGGCACAGAGCGGGCTCCACCCCAAATGTGCCAAAATGTGGGGCTGGGGGGGACGAGGGGCAGCGATGGGCTGGGTCACACAGGTGACAGCTCAGGAAGGGTGACACCCCAGAACTGTGGACACCTCAACACAAATGACATCCCAGCACGGGTGACATCCAAGTGAGAGTGACACCCCAGCACAGGTGACACCCCAGAACTGGGGACACCTCAACACAAATGACATCCCAGCACGGGTGACATCCAAGTGAGAGTGACACCCCAGCACAGGTGACATCCCAGCACAGGTGACATCCAAGTGAGAGTGACATCCTAGCAAGGGTGACATCCTAACTTGGGTGACATTCCAGTGAGAGTGACATCCCAGAACAGGTGACGTCCCAGCACTGGTGTCACCCCGGCAAGGATGGCATCCTAGCATGGGTGACATCCCAGCGAGAGTGAGGGACACTACAGTGAGGGTGACACCCCAGCAAGGGTGACACCTCAGTGAGAGTGACATCCTAATAAGGGTGACATCCCAATGAGAGTGACATCTCAGCACAGGTGACATCTCAGCACGGGTGACACCCCAGAACTGGGAACACTACAGTGAGAGTGACACCCCAGCAGAGATGACACCCCAGCATGGGTGACATCCAAGTGAGAGTGACATCCCAGCACAGGTGACACCCCAGTGCGGGTGACATCCTAGCAAGGGTGACATCCTAACTTGGGTGACATTCCAGTGAGAGTGACATCCCAGAACAGGTGACATCCCAGCACTGGTGTCACCCTGGCAAGGATGGCATCCTAGCATGGCTGACATCCCAGCGAGAGTGACATCCTAACATGAGTGACATCCCAGCACAGGTGACACCCCAGTGAGAGTTTCACAAGTGACATCCCGGCATGGGTGACTCCCCAGCACAGGTGACACTCCAGTACAGGTGACTTCCCACTGAGAGCAATACCCCACCACGAGTGGCACCCCAACAAAGGGTGGCATCCCAGCACATGTCACACCCCAGCACGGGTGACATGCCAGTGGGAGTGACACCCCAGCACCTGACATCCCAGCGAGAGTGACATCCTAACATGAGTGACATCCCAGCACGGGTGACACCCCAGTGAGAGTGTCACCCCAGGACAAGTGACATCCCGGCATGGGTGACTCCCCAGCACAGGTGACACTCCAGTACAGGTGACTTCCCACTGAGAGCAATACCCCACCACGAGTCCCCGCCCAACACAGGGTGGCATCCCAGCACATGTCACACCCCAGCACGGGTGACATGCCAGTGGGAGTGACACCCCAGCACGGGTGACACCCCAGCACGGGTGAAACCCCAGCGTCTCTGCTCCAGCCAAGGCGACCGTGCTCCATCCACCCAGCCGGGTGACAGCGACACGGCCCATCGCGGGGACACCGCCGGCCGAGAGGTGGGACCGGTCCCGTTTCCTCCGCCACACCGGCGACACCCCTTTCCATGGCGGGGGATCCGGTCCGGGGACGACACCCTGAGCCATCGGGGGCGGGATGGGGACCTCGGGGACCTCGGGAATCACGGGGATCTCGGGGGCTGACGGGGCTCTCGGGGACCTCGGGAATCACGGTGACCTCTTTAACCGCCGCCGCTGCCGCACCGCCGGCTCCAGAGCTGAGGGAGCAGCGGAGAGAGCAGCGCCCGCCGCCCGCGCTGCGGCTCGGTCGCGCCGGCCCCGCGGGCTCCCGCCGCCGCCACCACCATGCAGCCGCCGGCCCTCGGCATCCTCCTGCTCATCGCCTGCTTCGGCAGCGCCCGGGGAAACCTCTCCCGCGACGGTGAGTGGCGGCACGGCGAGCGGGCGAAGCTCCCTCCTCATCCCCGCCCCTCATGGCGGGGGATGCGGGGAAGCGAGCGACAGGTGCGGGGAGCGGCGGCGGCGGCGCCGTTATGTGGGTCAGGCAGGTTCCGCCCGCCCCGCCCCGCCCGGCCCTCGGGGCCCGCCCCGCCGCCGCCTGCGGGTGCGGCTCCCCGGGCGGCCGGCGGGGCTCAAGGTCACGGCGGCGCCGGTGCTGCCCGTCGTGTCCCCTCATGGCCGCGGCGGAAGGTTCCAGACAGGCCCCGGCGGGCGGCGGCGGCGGCGCTCGGCCCCTCCCGGCGCTGCCCGCGGAGAGGCGGGGGGGCGGATGGAGAGTCCCCGGTGCGGCGGAGCCGCCCCGCCGTGAGGGTGCCGGGGCTCGGCGGTGACACACGGAGGGGCGGATGGAGCTCCCGGGGGAGTTGGGGCGGCTCCCCGGTGCCTCCGCTGGGAGCCGCCTCCCCGGGATGGGCGGGGGGCTCGGCAGCGGCGGCCGCTCCCCGTCCCGCCGGGATGAGCGGGGCTCGCCGGACAAAGGCGGGCTTCACCGGCGGCGATAGTCGCGACAGGCACGGAGCGGGCGTGATTTCTGTCGGGGCTCGCCGGTGGCAGCGCCGCGTCCCCCGTCGCTGCGGGTCCCTGCGGGGTGGCCCCGGTGGCTCGGACCCGCCATCCCTGTCTGGCTGCTGGCGGCTCCGTTTGCCGTGTCGGCAGTCGTCTGTCGTGACAGAAGCGATGCTGCTCAGTGTGTTTGGGTGGGGAGGTGCGGCCGGGGGCTGGGCTGGACCCTCCGTGTTGTGGTCTGGGGGTGCTGGCGGTGGGTCCGGTCTCCATCCACATCCCTGCGGTCCATCAGGAGCGGGGAGGGGGTTCTGGAGGGGCCCGAGGGCTGTGCGGGTGGGAGGTGACACGGTGGGGACAAGGGCTGAGCCCGCAGCCCCCACGGCTCCCCCGCACCCATCTCTGTTGCTGTCACAGCCTCTGGGGGCTGGTGGCTGCGTTCCCATCCACGAATCCCAGGATTTGTTCTGGTTTTGGCCACGGTCCTCCCACGGGCACCCGAAAGAGTCACTTGGGTGTGGGTGATGCTCAGGGTGTGGGGACATCCTGGCAGCCCCAGCGTGGGGATGCTCAGCCTGTGGGGCTGGGGATGGCTGAGCATCCCGGGAGGGGAGGTGGCTGTGACCTGGAGCTGTCCTGGGACAGGACACAGCCCGGATGGTGACACTGCAAGATTTCCTCCTGGGCTGGCCTCTGCTGTGGCCCAGCTCTGGCCACCAGAGCCAGGGTCCAGCACAGCTGGACAAATAGCAGACCCCCCAAAAAATCCTTTAGGAGCAGATGAGACAGGAGCTGCTTGGAAAGAAGTTGTTGTGTTTTCACGGTTGGTGCCTCATCCTGGAGCCCCCTGAGCCATCCCAGCGTGACATCCCCTCCTTGGCACCCATCCTGGGGAGGGATAGAGGCTCCTCCCTGGAGAACATTCCTCCAGGGCTGTGGATGGCTCTGCTACAACCATGGCAGGGTGTGGAGGAACCCCTGGAAGCCACCCAGGCCCTGCTCCTGCACAAGAGGGCCCTGTCTGAGCTCTTGGCTGCCGTTGTGCTGCTGTCGGCACATTCGGGTGTGTTTGGGCTGGTGCGTGGTTGTCCTTGTGTGAGGATCATTCTCTCTCTGCAGGGTTATTCCACTCAGGAGTTGTGTAACCCTTTTGTTTGGACAATGCCCTGGGAGGCCACCACGAGGCCAAAACCAGATGACTTTGGGGCTGATTTTTTCCCTGGGGCACTGGAGGACATGAGGAGGTTTGCAGAGAGACAGGTTTAAGGCTCTGTCCCTGTCGTGCAGGTGGCTTCATCTCTCTGGAGCTTCTGGAGCTCTCTGCTTGGCCAGGCCACCCAGAGAAGCTCCCTCTATCCTGGGGAGATGCCCTGCAGCCCCCCAACCTGCTCTGCCTGTGGGATGGGGTCCCACGGGGCTTTTGCCATCCCCAGCCACCGAGCAGGTGACACCTGCAGGTGCAAACCCTTTTGTTTGGGCAGTGCCCTGGGGGCCACCACGGGGCCAAAACCAGATGACTTTGGGGCTGTTTTTATCCCTGGGACACTGGAGAACATGGGGAGGTGTCCTCAGCCTGGTGAGATGAGGGCTTTGCAGAGGAGGCACTGTCCCTGTCCTGCAGGGTGGCTTGGTGTCTCTGGAGCTCCTGGAGCTCTCTGCTTGGCCAGGCCACCCAGAAAACCTCCCTCTATCCTGGGGAGATGCCCTGGGAGCAGCCCCCCAACCTGCCCTGCCCGTGTGGGGTGGGGTCCCAAGGGGCTTTTTCCAAACCCGGCCACCGAGCAGGTGACATCTGCAGGTCCTGCTGGAATGTGGGAGAGCCCAGGGGCACGGTGGGGTGGTGGGAGCCCAGCGTTGTCTGGAACAGCAGAATTCTTTGCTTGCTGCTTTCCAGGGTGCTTTTCCCCAAGGAATGTGTGGAGAGCCCCATTCCCAGTGCCATTAGGGCTTGCCATATGCTCCCAGTGCCTGTGCCAGCAGCAGCCCTTGGCTCCAGAGCCGAGGAAGCAGTGACAGCCCTGGTGAGGCACGAAAGGGAGCGAGGCAGGGCGACCTCTCTGCATCACTCACTACCTGCTTGGCCTGATTTTGGATGACTTGGATCAGCTGCCTGGGGGAAACGAGCTGTTCCAGGGCTGGGATCAGCACTGAGCCCGAGGGGAGGGAGCAGAGCATCCCTGTGCAGGCTGGAGAGCACGGAATCCACCACTCAGCTGTCTGGCACAACACGTTAGGCTCAACAGGCAAGGCTGGATTGATTTTAGGACAAAGCCTGGGATCAGGCTCTGCAGAGGTGCCCAGACGGTGAGGGATGTGCTGGCACCGCTGCCAGGACAGGAATTGTGCCTCTGGCCTGACAATGCCGTGGGGTTTGGCATGGCCAAACCTCTGTTTGTGCTGTTTGCTGGGAGCGTGGTGGGAGGAGAAATCCCAAAGGAATGGGGTGATGCTGCTGGAACCCAAGCTGAGCATCCCGAGGTGTGGCCACCCATCCTCCTCTGGAGGGAAAAGCGCCCTGTTTGCCCAGGATTCCCAGCCTGAGAGGTCTCCTGCCTGCAAGATGCTGCCTCTTCTCCCTGTGCCTGACGTTCTCACCTCTCCAGGGGTGTTGGAACTGCCGGAGGAACCGGAGGCGGCTGCATCTGGGGAGTCACCCGGGCGCTGGCAGATGGAGGGAGCTGCAGCAGAGCTGTTCCTGTTTGTTTTCCCTGCCTTGGTTCCTAACCTCGTTTCGTGCCAATCCAGGGTGTCTCGTGCCCATCTGGGTTCCTGCAGGAGAGGAGCAGTGGGAGGGAGGGAGCGGGGCAGGTTCTGGATGTGTGTCCGAGGTGGTTTTGGTGGCGGTGCCAGCTGGGAGCTTGGTGGGCTCTGCTTGTGGTGTTGGGCTTGTTCTGCTGTGCCAGTGGCTGGCCTGGCACCCCCTGCCCAGCCTGGTCTCCACCTGAGCTGCTTTTCCAGCCCTGCTGATGCCTTGGCTGTGCACAGTGCTGGTTCTGCACAGATTGAGTGGAGTTCTCGTTGCTTTGGCTCTTCAGTGTGCTCTGGAAGGTGCTGCCAGCTCTGTGACACCCCCACAGTCAGATGGATCTGCTCCTCCTCCTCCTCCCAGTTACTGGGTCAGCTCAGCTTGAACCATCTGGTCCAGTTCTGGCCCCTCTGCTCTTGGCTGGGAGACCAGACCAGCAGAGCCTTCATCGGGTGGTGATGGAGGGGTGGGACTGACCTCTGTGGTGCCCCAGCTCCTCCACCCACCTGTGAGAGGCTGAGATTCTCCATCCCTCTCCCGGAGAGCTCCTCTTCCCCCCGGGGCTGTCCCTGGGGGAGGATGAGGAGCCGAGGCAGGAACTCTCCGTGCTTTATTTGGGCACCACCAAGCCACACAACCCAAAGGCAGCCGCTGCCAGCGCAGGGAGGCGGGGAAGCCTCGACTGTGAGGAAGAACGGGCAGGAATGCGTTTAAGAATGTTTTTAACCATTTCACTCACCTGCCCAGTCACGCTCCGAGGCTGTGAGGAGCAGCCTCACAGGAATGTGTTTAACCATTCCGCTCACCCGCCCGGTCACGCTCCGCCCGCGCAGGGACCGCGGGCCGGTGGCGGCTGCTGCGGCTCCCCCGGAGCCTCTCTGCGCTGTCTGGACGTGCTGGACGGTGGCAGGGCTGGCAGGAGCAGCATTTCCCGGGAATTTGGCTTGGGAACAGCAGAGCTGTGTCCCTGCAGCATCCCGGGAGCTGCCCCGTCCTCGGGTGATGCTCCAGGCGGTGCTTGAGCTGCAGATGCTTTTCCTCAGCCTCCGACACCTCAAACGGTGTTTGTCAGCAAGCTCAGCTTTTCCAGGCTGTTGCTTTCGGGCTGGGATTTCCAGGGAAATGAATTCTGACACTGCTGGGCCGAGTGGCCACTGGCAGGGAGAGCAGCAGGTCCCTGGGCTGGGTGCTGCTCAGAAGACAGGATTGGCTGGGAGCCCCCAAACCCTGGGGAGATGTTCCAGAGCTCTGGGGTGTCTGCACTGGTGGCCAGAGCTGGACCCACGCACACCCTGAGATGTTCCAGAGCTCTGGGGTGTCTGCACTGGTGGCCAGAGCTGGACCCCCACACACCCTGAGATGTTTCCAGAGCTTTGGGGTGTCTGCACTGGTGGCCAGAGCTGGACCCACGCACACCCTGAGATGTTTCCAGAGCTTTCGGGTGTCTGCACTGGTGGCCAGAGCTGCAGCTCCTCGTTCTCCCTCCTGCTGCCACCAGGATCCTGCTCTGCTGCTCCTGCTCTGAAGCCACGAGGAGATGGATCCAGGAGAGCCCCCGAGGTTCTCCAGCCTCTGAGCTTCCCTGAACACCTCGTGGCACTCCTGGAGGTTCCATTTTGCCTTTCCGACTTTGAATTCTGGCTTTTTGAAAATCTCCCTGTGGTTCTGGGCAC